TTTATGAGTTTCTTAAATTATTGCAATTTACTGGACACTATACACAAAAACAATAACAATATAGTATGTTATATTGTGCATAATATAAGTATATAGTTTGTTTAAATAATTTATTTTGAACACGTTGTCATTACACTTGGCTGATAAAATATTCGATATCAAATTGATAAAAATACGGTAAAGGTATACCTATGCAATTATATGTGTATAAGTTTCATGTATATTTTTATATAGAAATTGTGTGTAAACACTTATCTATAGATAAGTCTTTACAGAACAAAATCTATGTATTTAAAAAAAAAAGATTTTATTAAGGTAACCATGTAACTGAATTAAAAAGTCTATTGATTTGAATTCAATTAACAAATATATGTATTGCACTATTTCGGTCCTTACTGCAATAAAATCAATAAGATATTACTAGGAAAAAGTCCAAACAGTTCAGTAGTTTTATTAAAGAGAAAAAAAATTTAAAGGCTAAGTTATGTCAGATTGCTTATTTGAAAATACTATTTAACACAAACTTATGATTTTGTCATTTAAGAATTTCGAATAATTGTCATTTATTAAAAAGAATAAATTCTATAGCTATCAATTAGTTACTTAATTACTATATTATTATACTCTCCCAAAAGAAAAAATGTTTTTAAAATTCCTAGAAATTTGAGCTCTTGACAAGAGTTTGGGTGCAAAACTAATTATAAATCTTAAAGTCGTGCTGGAGATTCTTTACATTTTTGGAAAACGATTTTCATTAATTTTCTTCCATTTTTCAAATTCAAAAAGTAGTACGCAGTGCGTAATTCTAGGTAATAGCATCTATTATGAACTTAATAAAAAAGGTTTCAGTTGGTTTGAATTATACCCTTATACCAATTGAATTATACCCTTTCATTGTTGTATAGTAATTACTCCAACCTGCGAAACCATTCTATGGAAACTTCGCGGATATTTCTGACCTATAATTGGACACACAACTGCCAAGTTTTGTTATTTTTCCGAATATATAAAATTTTCTTTATTGTTGTATGGTAGTAACCCGAACCCGTTGTCCGAATTGATGTCGATTGCTTTATTCGTTTTTGAGTTATCGTGCAATTGGACGGACGGACGGACATGTCTAAATCAACGCAGAATTTTACGTTGAGCAAGAATATATATACGATTAAGGATATTTTGATTCACAGTTTATTGTAATATTCCACTGTTGTTTTTTTTTGAGTGGAACTAGTGTGGTTCGGTTTTGTTTAAAAATGAATGCAAAATTGTATTTATAAATGAAAATCAGAAAATTCGAGTTTGTTCCAATTACAAATCGAGCACGTTTGGATACCTTTATACAATTAATATATACTTATGTACCTACCTTTTGAACATAAATTTTTAAATGATAATTATGTAAATAAATTGAAATAAGTTAAAACACATGTTATGCGTGTATATGTATTTAATTTTTATATCAACGTGTAGCTATCAATAAGTAGAACAGAAAAAAAAACTAACGATATTTTTTTTTTCGTATGTTATCTCCGATATCTTTATTAATTTTCGATGATAAGAAGTTCACTATTCAGGTATACACTTTTTAGTTCTTACAGTTTCATTATTAATATGGTATAGTTAATATCACATAGATACATATATGTATGTATATAAAATCATAAAGATATTGTAATGTTTTTATCTTTGTATACAATTAAATATTTTAAATTTATTTTGTTAGTAAACACCAAATAGTGATAATGGCGAAACGGAAACTTTAACAAAAAGATAATTATTTTTGTTTTCTATAAAAAAGGAAATTAAATTTATAACAAGAAATTAATTATTTTATTTATATTTTTAATCATGTAGAAATGTTAAGTATGTATAGTTGTATTCGTGAACGTCGAACGATATGTGATGATTATAAATTTTCAAAACTAAATTCCAAAACTTGACTATATTCATTTAAATTTAATGTGGTGTGTAAGAACATTTTTACTTAGAAACAGATCAAAAAATTTAATTTGTGCCTTTGCTATGTAAATATGTATAATATATGTATGTATGTACATATCTTCATAATGTAATAGTGATCTTTCCTGATTTTACGTTGCAGAGTTAATGCTAAACTGAGGGTATGATATTGCTATTAATAAACTGATTAAGTGTTACGTTTTTGGCCTGTACTCTTTTTACTTATGCTACCTTTAACTCCAAAGCAGAAATTGAGGTCAGTCCTTCGTTACCGTACTCTAAATATAAGATAATTTGTACCAAAAATAGAATTTGATTTTTAACAACTATGATTCATAATCACTCTGTTTTTAATTTCATATCATGTGATATACCTACCAAATTTCATTTATTTAAAAAGAAGATATTTAAGACCATTAAAATTTTTTAATATATTTTTAATGTTTGCTTTTTTACCTCATGTGCCTGTCTCAAGGAGATATTAAAATTTTGAAATACATATTGGTACATAAAGTACATCTTTATTACACGAAATGTTTATACCTAAATTTATTTTGTTTATCTACATACACACAAATTCATTATAAATAAAAAGTATTTCACACGTTTGAATTATACCTACTTTTTTTTTAATTTATACATTCATACAGGTGTTGAGTCGCTACAAATATAAATTAATTATTTTAAAGTGTAATTAATAAAAAAGGAAAAAAAAAAACATAAAAAAAAAATTTTTAAAGTTCGAAATTTCCTATTTTCTTTCTGCTACAACAGTCGTTATTGAACGCTCTAACTAATTAGTGGTGATCGGAAAATAAAAGGGTGTCGCCCGATTGATTGTTCAAATAGTTTTTAATTCTCTAAATTTTTTTAAAATCTCATTTAATTTTTTCTCTCTTCAGTTCAATAATTGAACAAAAAACTTTAAATTTATTGCTATGAAAAAAGTTATGAACCGAATATTGTATACGGTTATGAATTCAATTAGTTCTTTAAAATATTTTCAATTTCACGGTAATAAAAGGTACTTTGTACTTAACAGAAATAATAACAACATAACCTATAGTAAGTGGCAGCTTTAATAAAATATAATTTATATTAAATGGAAAGCTCTGATTAAATTAAAGCTATGGTATCGGTAGTTAGTTAAGGTGGAAAAAAAAAATTTACTAAGTGGATAACGCAATATATTAAATAAATTTCATAATTATTGAAAATTTATCATTTTTCGCAGCAGTTTATCGAATTATTAAAAATAAAAAATCTTTTGAGAAAGTGTTTACAAAATAGTTAAAAATTTGTAAACTTAAAAAATTTTTATTTAAAATTTTCTAATATAAAAAATTAATAAATAAAATGTTAGTATTTAAGTATTATTTTATTCTTGAGGTTATGGCATATTATATGTAAACTTATTCTGGGAAAATTTCATATTTCAATGAGTTGGTGAGGTGTTAACTATTAACGCAATTCTTTAAACGAAGTTCTGTTCGGCAAGTAATTTTTAAATCACTTAGTCTATAAGTCATACACTTAATTAATTTATTATTATTCTTTACACATAATTATGTAATTGGTTTGCATGTGTCCGTATTTCTATAAAAGAATGTTAACACAGGATATAATCAAATAATTACCACAAAAATATGATTAATGTTTCAATAATAATTTCATTAAAAACCAGTATAAAACAGTTTTATGAAAATTTTTAGTGCTCAGGCAAGGATATTTATATGTGTATGTATATAAAAAAATTATGATAATATTGTAATTTAACACTAACAATAATAAATAATATTTCAAATTCCTATCAAAAATTAATATCCGAATCTAATTAATTATATTAAACAAAAACACTTTCAATTAGAACGGCGTCGGAGGTACAGGCATTTTTTGCCATTTAGTACAGGTGTACAGAAAAATATGAAAAGGCCATTACAGACTCAAATAAAATACTCGTTCAACATACACCAATAAACATTTATGTACTTCTCCACAAAAAAATACAGAGTAAAAAAGTTCAATTAAATATTCTGGGGTTTCTTTGAATTGTTCATATTTTCCACTTTTTTTTTATATTTAGGTATATTTTAATTATTCTCGCGGGTAAAATTAGTTTTAATTAAAATTACCACACAACTTTACATATTTTGATATCACTGAAAGAAATTAATAAAACAGACATTGTTATTCTATGTTATTTAATATGAAGATAACATGAGGCTGTATGCTGTACTCTCTTTAATAACTTTTATTCATATGATTATATTATGTGTGGTGTGGTTATTGTTTCTTTTAATGATACATGCATAATTATATTTACTCTTAAGAACACTTTTGTATCATCGTTGTTTTCTCATTTTTATTTGTTTTATATTTTATTAACTGTGATGTTTAAAGGTTAAAAAGTTAGCGTCGTTTTTCTCTAAACTTTTTTATAATTTTTGAATGGTTTACTTTTTTTTTATTTTTCTTATTTAATTTTATAAGGTTATGCAAACATCAACTGTGTTGTGACTCAATAAAATATGTTGAAATACGAAACGAGTATACGAGCATTTTTTACCTATCGAATATTTTTAATTAAAAGATAATAATAAAAATAACAATTATACTTACAATAATTACCTTTTATAAATACAAAAAGTTAACAAGACAAATTTAAAAATATTAGAACGCGTTTACGTATTATACAAGTTTTACTAAAATCAAGTGAAAGTTACTAGTATTTAAGCTTCTTCACGTAAATCTTGAATAAGTTATTTAACATTATGTAGGTTATAATACCACCTTTGAATAATAGAACTACAAATAATAAATAATAAGAATAATAGTAACCATTATTAAAATAAATTTTTTTTAATCTTTGAATTGAATTGCAGCCTTTCTTTTTCTTCAATAACTGAATAGTAGCATTCTTAAATTGTGAATTTTTATTTTTATATTAATTAATTTTTAATCGCATTAAAATCATATGATATTTTTATTACAAAAAATATTTGGTTAATATTTATCTTTATAAAGTGAAAAAAATTTACATTTAAATATATTAAGTAAATAATTAATTAATTAACAGAAAAGCAATAAGTAGCAATATTAAAACCAAAGTATTTAAAAAAAAATAAGTTTGCAAACATAAAATTAAGTGTATGGAAAAAAGAAGATGGCTTGTATAAGAAAATTATTCACAAAATGTAATGGATTTAACCCAACACCAATAGTTTCACCAACAGCTGCTAATAAAACAACTATAATTGAAAATAGTAATGCGGTAAATATATTTGATTATTTCTAAAACATTGAATTTGAATACATGTTTAGATGTAAGAACTTTAATCATGTGTATACTTAATAAATATAATTTTTTCATTTCTCTGAATAAACATCAATTCCTCATTAATGTATTCCATCTGCATATTATTTAAACGGTGGTTAATTGAAATTATATCGTGGCTATACCAGTACCATGATTTTTCTTAGGCTTGATTTCCTGACCCTACGGCTCAACAAATAGAACTCTTAAGGAATTATCAAACAAAACTTTTGAATTTTTCCGACCTCTTGAACAGGTTGGAATTTTTGGTCAAGTTCCAAATTCAAAAACTCGTACTCTTTCAGTGATGCATCATATATGTAATATCAGTCGATTAATAACTTAATTAGAGATAGCGTCCTATCAACACTTATAATTGCTCAGCTCTATAACGTCTAACAGCCACTTTCAGAACGGCTAAAAACGTTTATTCATAAACAGGTGATGACAGAAGGACATGCAAATATAAGCACAGACACTGACGTATCAAAAAGCATACAAAAAATAATTTAAAATATGGATCTTAAATTTTAGAATGTCAGAACAAATGTTAGAAATTTAAATTTTCATATTTATAGAGCTAAGTATATAACGTATTAAGTTTTTATTAATAAATTAAGTATGAACTTTTAGCCTTCACTTGAATTTCAATAATTATTAGTTATTGTTGATAGTAACTTATAATTTCTTTGTTATGAAATGGCTTAGTCATTCTAAAATTAAACATTTGTTTCTTAGTATTTTATCAATTAATATTAATATATAGCAGCAACAATAATTTCCGTATTCATAATACTAAATTCATATTCGTTAGTATGAAGTTGTAATTAAAAAATCTCTAATTCAATGGTTATGAATGTTTTCTAACATATTTTTATCATTGAAATAGCAATCCACAAATACTTTCTTTTGATAACTATAAGAGTATTAATTTATCAATCAATTGTCTTTTTTTTGCAATCGATATAATTATTGTAAGAAACTGTTATATAAGTAGATATGATATCCAAAGTACATATAAAAATTCTTTAAATTTCATGACTGATTTCCTTTAAATATATACTTTATTATTATTACTTATTGATAAAAGCTATAATTAACTACTCGATATCTTAATAATTTTATCTTGTAATATTTTATAACTCTTTAAATAGTGACAGATAGTTATTATTATATTTCATATAAGAAATGAAATACCAATGAACCGTAGGCGATAACTGCTAAAAAATTCTTAGGCTGTGGTTAGAATGCATTTATGGTTGTAAAAATTTAAAAATACGAAGTGTTTTTAAATTTTTATAAAGTATCAATTACCATGTAAAGTTGAAATCGCTCGAAAACCTCAATAGCTAGTAGAATAATGACGAATTTGTAGCAATTAGAGTGCGTTATGATGAGATACATAAAGTTAGTTATTAAGCTAATTGTTTTTAATAAAGACGAGAAAAAAAACACAAAAATAAAACAAACAGGAAACTGAGTCGCGACACAAGCTACTTCTATATAAACTGCAGTCAAAAGACTTGTCAACGAAGCAAGTTTGGTTGAGGTCCAATATCACTTACAATATTAACCTATCTCAGAACTCTGCTATGCAAGTTGGAAACGTGTTTTATTATTAAGAAGGAAAAAAACTGAAAACCTGGTACTTGCAAATGTGCAGTATAAAACCATTATTATAACTCCAAAATTTTGTGAATATAATTATTAATAAGACAACTGCCTTTTTGAAAAGGCACAACAGAACATTTCATTCAAATTTTAGAAAACACAAACGTGTAAAAAAACGGGAGAAAAAATTTGCTAACTGAGTTTCAGTGAAGTTAACTTAAGTTTTATAATAACAGCAAAGATCGATAAAAATCGTATGTCTTGGTGCAAGACCTCCCAAAATTTAGGTAATACAAATATATATGACAATCTAGTATTTTGAAAAGATGACTTGTTCAAAACAAAACCACGTCAGACGCCTCTATTTTCAAATGTTTTTAAAATATTGTATTCTACAATATAAGAATAAGTGACATTAACAGTATCTCCATTATTGAGCACTATTAACTCATTAATTTTTGAGCCTTATCTAAATTAATAGTTTCTTAATGTTTACTGATTAATATTCAACATAGGTTAATTGCATTTCTAAATAGAAGTTAAAATAATATTGTAAATGATCTAGGGTGGAGAAATATTCTTAAAGCTTGTTCTTACACTTTAAATTTTATTTGTGTATAAATAGATAATAATGACATTTTAAATGAATTTTTTGGTTTTCTACTTTAATAGTTTAATGATCACACAAAATAATTTTGTGTTTAATATCTAAATTGAATAGTTATGTTCCACTTTTTATGATAAGATTTCAGATACTATTTGATAATTTGAAAATTTATTTGATAATTTAATTTTTTTTTGATCTAATAAAAATTTCACTTGAAAGTATTTTATCAAACACCTAAAAATTTCCTTATTTAAAAATTTCCTAATTTAGAATTTCCTTATTTATACGTCAAAATTAATTACTTCATTTATTTATTCGTTGGGACCAATATTTGGTCAAGTCCAGAATATATTCAAAATTAATGTAAATTCTTTTGAGATGCTTGTATGTGTACTTATGTATTAAAATTTGCAAAATTTAAAAACAGTCCAAAACTATACTTTGCATTATTTCTTATAGAATTCTTTTCTGTTGTGTTTATTGTTCGTATTAAAATTAAATTTTCATATTTTCTTGAATATCTCTATTTTTTTTACAAAACATTAAATTTAAATGAAATGTTGAGCACAACATTTAATAAAATTTATATTTTAATGACAAAACGTAAAGTGTTTCTTGCATATCCAAGAAAACAAAAAAAAAAAACAAAATCCTAATAGCCTAACCAATACCCATTTGTTATTACCATAATCAAAGTAAAAAATTTCATCTCTGAAATGCCTTCCTTTCATATTAAATCAGGAATTTCCAAGGATTTTCCAATATTTTTTCTTCTTAATTTAAATAATATCTGGAACTAATATCCGAAACCATAGAAATTTTTAAGCATTTTTAATGTGAAAAGTAATCGAAAAAAGATAAACCAATAGTACAACACTAGGATATTGAATTTTCCGCCTGTCTAATTTAATAATAACAAAATTTATAACGAATATTAGCTGCAATAAAGTGATTCAATATAATTTTTTCCAAAAGAAGTTAAAGAAAAAAATTTTTTTAAAATGAAGTATGGATTAAAGTATTCATTTTACAAACAGCATTTTTTCCACGTATTGGAAATTAAGTTTAAGTAATGAAACTAAGTAAATTAAATTAATTATAACAGTAAACTTGAATTCGACACTCTAATAAAAATAATTTAAAACTTTAAATTCAAAATTTAATTTAAATTTTAGAAAATTCCCTAATATCTTCCTGCAGTACCAACTTACGCTCCATAAACGTTAAAGGTTTTGCTTTTCAATGCTACATTTTTTCTCCTTCAAAAATTGCGTTATTTGTGTAAATGTTGTATAAAAACGATTTCTATATCAATTTTATAAAATTCATATTCAAAGCAACATAAGCAAAAAAAGAGAAAAAAGTCTATGTAGCTATATAATTTTTTCTGCCTTTTCTAATCCTTTGGGTCGACTTATCATTATGCTAATTCTATTAAATATTGAGGGAAAAAACTAAAATTTCCAACATTAACCTTAAAAAAAAGGAAACAAACAAATAAAAATTGGTACAAAAAGTAAGGTAAAGAAAAAAATTCTTATCGAAAAATAGCCTCAAAATATTTTTAGAATTACCATGTTAGTAATGTTTTTGCAAAAATTTCCCATACCAGCATACCTACAATCATATTTACTATTGTACGATGTTATCTATACATACGTACGAATCCTGGCCCAAAGTAAAAAAAAATATTTTAAAGGTAGAAAAAATAATATTATCAAAAAGTTTATAAGGAAAAATTTTTGGCAAAACTATTCATGAGAAGCAAAACAAAAAAAAATAACAAAAATAAAAATATTAAAGTATCCTTTATAACTTGTTAAATGAAAATAAACGAAAAAATAGGAGTATGTATAAGAAATCAAAAAACAAAAATGAAAACAAAATTAGAAACTGTTAATAATTGTAAGGAATAAAACTAAAATAGTCTAGATGTTCATAATAAAATAAAGGAAGAAATTTTATATGGAACTTGTTGCTGTTTACTTGTAAATATCAGCACCATTTTGAAGAGTGAGTCAATATCCTTTTTAAACATGATTATTTCCAGATGTACATTATGCTCCTGCAGATAGTATAGGTACATTGATATATACTTTATGTCTTTCCCGTGATATAAAAATCGGGTTAAAAATTTTATCCTTAAATAAAGATAACTGTAAATAGATCTAAAAAACAAATACTTTTGGTAACGTAAGCAAGGAAATGTTACGTAAAATCCAAAGAGTAAAATTCAAGTTTCATATTATATCCATTCCTTTACTTTTAAATTTTTCAACAGATTTTGTCCAAATTAAGAACGAGTTATTTAAAACTTACTAAAATTTTAAAACTGAATGAAAAATGCTTTATAATTAGAGAAATATTTATGCTTAATCTACAATTCTACTTTTTATATAACATGTTTATAGTTATTGCAAGCAAAATTATCAAATTTGTTTATGTTTAGTTCATTTTGGAAAGAACTAAATTCAGTCGGCAGTATTGCCTGCAAGCTGTGATTTTGATGAATTCAAATGAAGTATGAAGAGGAAAAAATCTTTCTCGGTTTTTAATGTCAACGTGATGATTATATATTTTTTTTATTTTTAATAGAGAGTGAGAGCCAACAACTTTTCTTTGCTTATTTATTAATTATACAGTATTAATATGTGAAAACATTAAATTTAACTATGACTTGTAATATGGCACATTTCCATTTGACTACTTCGGTCTAGAGCTCATATTTATATAGCTTCTG